GAGCCCCATTCCAAAACTGTAATGAGCTTCCTAAACAAATTCACACACTTTAAACTGAAGAGCCCATGGACTAGGCTAAATATTTGTGAAGCCCAGTAATGGCTACTGCAATTACCATCCTGATTAAAAACAAGACCATCAGGCAGTCCAGTGCTCAAGTAGTAAGCCGTGAGAACATCTAGGGACTTAAGTTACAGAACCTAAATATAACTAAATGCTCAGAACGATTAATAGAAGCAGGTGTGAGTGCCCTTAATATGCAAATTAAGGATGTGGGAAAATCCTAAAAAAAAGGTGCCAGCACCCTGCCTTTTACAACAAAATAGAGCAAACTGATACATAGTGCTTACAGCAGGAAGACAACCAAGAGGCCACTGTCATACAGTTACCTTTGTCAATTTGCTCAGCAGTGTTTTAAGTTACAGGCATTCTTCCTACTTGCCTGAGAATTCTCCAACTTGGGCACATTCCAGTCACAAGAACATAAGATTGAAAAAGTCTACTGGTGTCTCAACAACACACCACCTAAAGCACGACAAGAGCTGATGGCTTTTGGGGACTGTTATCTTCTAACACCGTAACAAACTGCACCATTCCTGCCTTCTTTGGACATATGGGGAAAGAATGAATAAATTTACACTTCAGATTAAAAACAGTTTTCCAGCTCAAATTTTCATCACTAATTTAGAAGTTCTACCAGTAGCTCTGCTGTGAGCACAGCTTTCAGAATGGACTCTAGCAAAGCAGCCCGATCCCCACCTGAACCTCATTTCTATGACTATGTTTTATAGAGTCAACAGATGACAAAACTACAGTTCCACAGCATTATTTTATCTATCAAGCAGTTGTAAAGAACATCTGCTTCTGAAAGGGGGAATCAGTTAATCCTTGAAGTGAGTTCAGTGATGCCCCAGGGATCAAACAAATGCTGATGCATGAACAGAACTCTACCACTGTAGGTATTTCAGCAAAGGCAACACAGAAATGCTTCTGTGATACCACAGAAATCTCCCTCTGCAGTCCCTTCAGACCAAAGGAAGGTAGATCCACATGGAAGCAACACACAAAAGCAACATCAAAATTTCCTAAGAGCTGCAGCCAGTGAGGTTCTGCCCTCAGAGGCAGGTATTTTTAAGAAACAACTGATACATGATTTGATCACACAGCTTTTTGAAACTGAGGATGATGCCTGCACCTCTCTCCAGGCAAGAGTCCTGCAGCCAGAGGATCTCTAGCAGTACCCAAGTAGCAGAGCAAGGGGAAACTGGACATAGCTGACTTGCACACAGCCAGGCAGAGGAAGCAGGTAAGAGGAGCCTTCGCTCTGTTCCTACCTGCACGCAAACAGGATGCTCACTTACCTACACAAACCCACGACATACAGAACATGTTACCCCGTAATGTTAAAGAATGTACTTCTATTTCTGGATCTACACTGGCAAGAGACTTAAACATAATCAGGCAACATGGCTATGTCAAAAATAATTTTTAAAACTTACCTTTATCAAGATGATTCAACTTCCCTTTTTGCTTCTGCCACTCTTTAAACTTTGGTTCAACTTTCTCAAAACCTGCCTCCTCTGACTTGACAAGAAGCCTCATTTTTGATGCACACTTTGTCTCGTCACTCTCCACCCCACTGCACAACTGGCATAACCATTGTTACAGTTCTGCCCTGTGGCAGGAGCAAAAGCACCTGGATGAGATTTCTCCCAGTCCTGGTTTCAGACCTGACTGCCCACACCGGGGACTGAAGCGGCCCCCCCAGCTGTGAGTGAGGAGGCAGCACACAGTACCACCTCCTAGAGCTTTTCAAGATTCACTGACAGGACTACAATTACAGTTTCAGAAGCTCCCTAGTCAAGTTTAGTTACATAAAACCACTTCTTGAAGCTGCAGAAACCTAAAGTTGCAAATTACACAATGCTAAAACCAACTGAGGGACTTTTACCTGGATTAATCAGTTTACTAGGAGATATTGTATCAGACTGCTCTACAGCAGTCAAGGGATGACTTAGCCCACCGTTTATAACGGCTATGAACTGTTAACCAACCCTACTGGAGGCTCAAGCCTTTCCTCCTCCTCCAATGGCAAACTGAACCCCTCACAGCACACAGCATTCTCAGACAGAGCCAGATGCTATCATGGCACTACAAATAATTCAGATTTCAGATTTTCATACAAAGGAAAGTTAGAATAATCTTTCCCTTACAGCTATTAGAGCCCCTTCATGCATTTAATTCCTCTCAGAAACCCTAAAGCACTAATGTGCCTATGCTTAGCAGCCACACTTAATTTTGTACTTCCAATACAAAAAACTATTTACTGTCTAGGAGCAAATTCTCTAATGCTCCTACTTCACTCATGTAGAACTACAGAGCTTGCACTACTCAAGATCAGCTCTACTTCAAATTAGTCCTATCACACACTGCATTACTTCAGCCTATTCAAGCTGCCACACGCAATTCTTTGTCAGTAATGAAGACGCTAACAACACACAATTTGGGCCAGGAGAAAAAGCTGTCAGATTGCTACTTTTGAGGGCCAACATTCTCTCACATACTATCTAATAAAAAGAACTCACAGGGCTGAACTTACTGTAATCCTGATCCCAGAGCTTTAGCTACAATGTTCACGAAGTAAAATGAAAAACCTTTAATACGTGAAGGAGTGCCAGTCTATCCTGCACATTCCAGTGTAACATTTCACAGGAATGAGCTTTTATCCTGTGAACACAACAGCCTGTTGCCACGCACAGCAGATAAAGGAGGCTCCTGTCAGCACTTTGAGTTTCAGGGCTAAGTCTGCACTTTCAAAACCTGAGACTACAAGGGTAAAGGTCATATTTACTGTACTCACAAGAGATAAAAATCAACAGCTAAACACTCAATTTTTTTGTGGCAGAAGGATTTTTGACATATAACTGAGCAGGAATTCACATAAACAAAGGAAATAGAGTTCTCAAAAGAAAAAGGACCAATTTCTCCATTGAGCAGCATTGTCTAGCACACAAATAACACGCATGGCTTGACATTTTAGTAGGGGAAAGGGCTGTTTCTAAATGCAATAAAGCTATTTTCTGACAGTTGATAATCAATGTCCAAATACCAAGAGCTAAATGCTGAGCCATAATAAAAATTTTAAATGCACATGAAACTAAATTACCTTCTGGTTAAAACCAATTTACATGGTACCAGAAATAACCCTTTAAAGCTGAAGATCTACATTTGGTGAGGCTAAAACTAGGTCAGATGCTGAGCAGCGTAAAAAGAGAGAAAAAGTGAGAAGTGCCTACCTTTGTACCAACTGTTATATCTTGGACAATGCTGTAGAAAAAAGAAAGAAAAGGATTAAAAAAGTTAGATAGGTTTGCCACAAATATCCAGCATAGTTTACAGTAGTAAGAAAAAAGCCAAGTCAAAGTGCACAGTTGTCTTTGCAAGTGAGCCAAGGACAGTTTATACAAAGAAAAATTATTAGATGGTGATGGTGGAGACCCAAGACCCAGCAGTGCTAGAAAACTGCAGCTCTCCCACTTCCTATAGTGGAGCTTGCTCTGTTTGCAAGGATACCACGGGGGCCAGGACCAAACCCCCCACACACCCACCCCCCCACAGTTATCACAGCCTAGCATTCTCCACAGGAACACGAGGCAGTTCGAACAGCACCTGACTAAACCAAAACAAAGTGTCAAGAGTCTACTCTGTTGCCCATATTCACTTCCACAGCTCCTCACAGCCTTAGCAAAGGAGCAGCAGCCTCTGCGAGGCTGTAGAGGGGCCACCTCCAGCAAAATTATCGAGTCACTACCCAAGACTACTAATGCTAGAGCTCCAACGGCACCACCGCCGCCGGCACACACCACGCTGAGCCTGGGCTGTTTTCTCAGCCAAGCTGAGCACCCGTGCCAGGCTTAGAGCAGCCTCCAGCCACGCCGACACCGCTGGAGCCAGACCACTGCCAGACTAACAGCGCAATTAGAAAGAGCAGGGAAGAGGTCCAGGCAGCTCCCGGACTGGGGTACGCCTGCACACAAGGTTCCTCTATCAATTCGTTTCTACTTGGGAAAACAAATAGTATTTTCCCCTAACACAGATCTGAAGGGAAAAAAAAACATTTTTAAACCCCGCCATACACACTTAAACCTCCTAAAATGAGACTGACTAACATGAAAAACAATGTTAGCTGTACCTCAAGCGACCCCTGCTAGCTCTCATCAGCCATGAACATTATACACCGTAACACACATCGACTCAGAGCAACTTCTTTCATCAATGGAATCAGAGTCTACAGCTTGGCATGTTCTACCTGGATCTTCCAGAGTATTACAGCACCTACATGTTACTCTTTTCGTGCAAGTGCTCAAGATAATCTGGGGATTTCGGTTATACCCTTGCACTGAAGGTAACTTTTTTAATCAACTCCAAACCACTGTGAAGCAGCCAACATGAAACAGAGCAGAAATGATCATTTTGGAGTGACAGATATGCAGCACCGCCTGTTTCAACTCCCGTCTTTCAAATGGCTGACCATAATTTCAGAGTAAAGGATCCAAAAGCAGCTGGCTAGCTGAGCTGCAGCAATTTTAAGGAAACATGGCAGAGAAGCAGAAGGCAGGGCAATCATTCTTAAAACAGCAACATGAAATCTGATGTACTCAAGATCAATTCTACAAAGTGATTTAACAGTAGAGAACTCACATTTACTGGTTCTTCCTTCCCTACCCTCATGCAACAATTCACAGCTTTTCAGGGAATACTGCTCCATCTCACTAAGTCATTCACGTTTCACCAGCCCCACAAACAAGCCGTAACACAAGTAGGAGTCAGCGCAGCTCCTCATACTTCCTCTTCCAAACCAACCTGCCATGTCATCATAACCCAGCACTTTACAGCTGGAGTTACAGCCTGATCCAATGGCTGCTGCCAGGAAGCCACGCGATAGTTTCTTTTTTTTTTTTCTTCTTCAAGTAACTACTTCAGGAACGCTCTGTATGAGGATGCCGGGCTTTGCAATCCCCTGTGTCCGGTCACCAACCAAGACAGATGGGTTTTGCTGCACTTTGAGAGCCAGCAGTAATGAACTAATTAAACCCATCTGCACTGATCAGTTTAAAGAACCATCATCATTCTATTAGAATTACTAAACACGATTACACATTTCTCCAGTTAAAATACATTAACGCACTCATTTTCATAACCTTAAAAAAAAATTATCTCCAGCAAAGCATAGTAAGAACAGGGAGTCTCCCAAGTTTCCAAAACTCTCGAACTTACCCCAGAGCAATTTCTCTTACTTCCTGTTCCTCTTGCGGGCCTCACACACAGGAAATGTTTTACATAAAGTAGCCTTAACAGGGGATAGTATTTTAAATTATCCAACAGGAAGGGCTCTTATTTGCCAAGAATTATCGACTTCTGGAATATTGTTGTAACCCATTTGATAGCAAATACCACATGAAACAAGCACCAACAGTATTTAAGAATTTTTATTCAAGAAATGTGCAATAATACTTCCAGTTCACACACACCCTCAATAAATTATCGTATCTTAAGATTCATTCTCTTCTCCTATGTCAACCTTAAGCAGGGGATTAAAACTTATCATTTCCGAAAGAACAGGCAATAAAGCCTGTCATAAAAATTACTTTTCACATGGAATGGAATAATTCCTACGCAATAAAGGGAAAAATTAAGCAGCACCGGTAAAACCTCTAGGTCATTTTCCAAAGCGGCATTTCCCGTACGAACTTCTCCCATGCTTTAACAAAGCCACTTATTCAAACGGGATCATTTGAAAAGCACAGCTACGTATCGTTTTAGGTAGGAGCAGCAGACAGAAGCAGCTTGTAGCCAGAGAGGCCACTCACTGCCAGCTAGGCAAAAATCTAAAGCCATTTTCAGAAGCAGCTTTCAGAGTTTCAAAGGAGCCAGCTTTCACAGGGTAAACAGCTCATGCACCAAGACCTACACAAGACAGTGGATAACAGACTTAACACTAAAATGTCTACATTCAGACAACAGCTATTTCAACATACACAGTAAATCACCTTTCCTAGGAACTACGGTGAAGACAGCTAACCACAAACCGATTTCTGCCCTTCGAATGTACGGCCTCACATGCTGAAGACTTTTTCATTAAGTATCGTTCAACATGATGAGCAACTTCTGAAGAGAAACTGAACAATCTGAACTGCATTCCGGACTGTAAAAACTAATTGCAAGATAGACTATTTTCACAGGGTTTTTAAAGATGAAAACAACACCGATACGCCACTTTTTCAGCGTGTAAAAAAACGAGACATGCGACTACGCCTAATTCTCACCAGACTAGTGCGTGTTCCGAGGCAAGAAGCGAGGAGGCAATAATTTGGGCTTCCCGTACTTAAAGCTCTGGAAAAACAAACTGCTTACTCGGAGGCCTTTTGAAATATTTTAACTACTGCGCTCTAGAAGAAACAAAAATCAGATAACTAAAAAAAAATACGCCACACGAGAAATGCGGAGCCCTCGTTTCTGAAAGAACTGCCTTGATAAAACAGTTTTAAAGCAAACACTTCTGGAACGAGACGCCAGACGAGGTGGTGGTGAAGGAGAATCCAAGGCTGCCCAAGATAAAAGTTGCTCTCTAGAAAAACTAGAGCGAGTCAAAAAGCCGCGGAGGGAAGTTTTGTATCGGAGTAGTTCAGAAGCGGACAACAGCAGAAGAGGGAGCCCGAGCGGGGCTCTGCTCCGCCGCTGCGGCGCTACCTACGGCTCAGGTAACGCTGCCACGGCCGCTCCAGCGCACCCATGTCGGCCCCGTGGCTGACATCAGCCCCCCTCGCTCTGTCGTCGCCCTCTGCATTCACCACCCGGGCATCTGAGCCTCCTACCAAATTAAATATTAAACGTTCTAAGGGATATTGTGTTTCTTTTGTTCCTCTGGCAACTGAGATCTCGAGTGCTCTCAATTCTCCCTGACTTCACATTTTGCAGTTTCATGTCTTAATGTTCTTTTAATGCTTAATTTAATACTCTGGAGGTTCTTACCACACACTCATGTCTGTGACACAGAAAATGTGGTGTACAACCTACTAGAGGAGGAGGTAGCTATTTAATGAGCTGACATTTCTCATCAGCATCCAGACCCCAACCTACAAGGAGAAGTGCTGTGGGGAAGAGGTGGCGGGGCTGTGCAGCAGCGGCTGGCTGGACAGGAAGCCCCAGTTATTCTTAGCACCAAGGGTCAAACCAAACCCTGCCACCATCACAGTGGCAGCTCCTTACGGCAGCTGAAGGGAGCACTCGCTCTCAGAGGCCATCTGTAACTACACAAATAATACCTAAAAGTGGTCACTCTCCGTGCTGAAACGCCAGTTCTAGGGTACTGGATGGAGGCCACTGTTTCTTTTCGTACACTTCCATCTAGTCTGATCAAATAAGAGCAACTCCGGTTTTAAGTCTGAAATCAGAATGGGAGTTTCTTAACATTTTCACCATCTGAACACAAGCAAGTCTTCATACCACAAAAGCAAAAGCCCCTTAGCTTTGGGAGCAAGGCTTCCCCCACTGTTCCCATTGCATAACATCCTTCAAGAACATATGGGCCAGCAAACAGAAGACGTCCGCTGCATAATTATGGCACTGACAAACCAATTGAACCTCAGCAGCTGCCGCTGGGGAGATTTCATTCATTCCCAGTATTGCCTTTTAAACTTAAGTGGCACTGGAACAAACACATCTTTGATCCAAGTAGGAAATCATTTGGAGCTTTGTGTTTAATAGAGCTGAAGCCCTGGGAAAATGATGTCTTTATTAGCCTGGATGACAATGCGGGTCTCATGGCAGGCACACAG